CTCGATCTCCTCGCCTTTTTAAACCCTGGTTCCCCGTGTTCCTTCAGACCTCGGTTTTGATAGACGTTTAAATTGCTATGCCGCTGAAATTCGAAGTTCCATGAAAGTTGAAACAACGGTTCCGAGAATATCCGCGAACTTTTTTAAGTGCATACGTAGAAGCGTGAGCAGTAACGATTGAACAGCGTGACCGTTCACCGTGGGGTGAATTATCGAAAAGCGGCGTTGCGTGCACGGGGGATAATCGCGTGGCGTGGCGACTAATTCGAAGTAATTGTCTTCGATTCGAATCTGATACAAGCTATTACAGGGCCATCATCGTTATGTATTATTATGTTAGCCGTGTATTCTTCCCCTTTTCCTGCTTAAGCGATGAAAGAGGACGCCTAAGAGCCTCGGCACGGGATTTTTCACGAGTCAAGAGGGCGCGGTTTGTTTAATGCGCCACGATTATAACCACGGCGAAACATTTACAAAGTCACCCGGCTCTTTAAACGAGTTAGTAGCGTAGAAACAACGTTGCGTTGGCGTACACGGTGGTTACACAACTCGCTTGTAACATATTTATGGGAAATAAGCGAAAATCCGATCATTTTCCTCTTACCAATTTTGCTCCTCGCGGAGGAGAGCAGTTGTTACAATTTTTCATTCGTTTCGATAGAAAAGAGAAATCAATAATTATCTTCCGTAATAAGCAAGTAACATGTAGCTACTAAAATATCCAATTAAAAAATACCGAAACCCTGAACAACCAACAAAAAGTTTATACCATTTCCCAAATTTCGCTCGTACGCGAGGAAAATTTCAAAGGATATTGAATGCTTATTTCATTCGCGGTTCTTCGTCGACTTGATAACTTAATCCCAGGAAGATAGTGTTTTAGCGTTACCGCGGCAGAAACCGGATCGAAACCCATTAAAAGTTTATTCGAGGATGGTCAATTGGGTCTTGCCAATTCCCATTACCGCGGGGATACTCGAACGTGTATCCCACTTATCGAGAGCTTCCGACAACGGTTCAATTTTCCCGCGTCGAATTTATTTTCCGACGCGAGGATATGGGATAACCGGGGGAACGCACCGCGGGCGTCGTCTTTTCGGAGATGTCTGGCAACGATACCGGTGCCAGAGAGCTCGCGGAAAAACAGAAAACAGTTTACCGGCGAGCGTTTTCGTTGCCCTCGAGCGCTTTTACGCTCGCGTCTGAATTTCTTGCCTCGCGCTGCCTCTCGTCCCGAACCGTGGTAATTCCGCGGTGCCGCGTTTTTAATGCGGTTCAAATTGTTCCGCTGTTCCGCCGTTGGTGTGCGTTACAGCCGTGTGGATTGAAAACATGTTTTTCGCGGTTCGCAGTCCTACCAAAGGCGGTAGCAGCAAGCTGGAAATGCTGGCTGGTGTGAAGACGCAGATGACGGGCTGGTTTAGCGGCGGAATACCGGGATTAAGTCGCGGCGGCGCGCAGGCAAACGAAGGTGAATCCCAATCACCAGCTGGGATGAACGAGGCTCAAGCCGCGGCGAATAACCAGTCACCGCCCGAACAAGTTAAGGACGACGACGCGAGTAGGTAAGGAAACGACTCCCGATGAATCCGATTTGTTTTCCATGCAGTCGCTTGATCCGGATAAACAGGATCAACCATTTGCCTTGCAACAACGGGTACAGTCATTCGCGAAGGTTTCATTCAAATTTCGACTTTACGCAGTCTTTTCATTGGAGAATGTCGGATGGATATTGGTTCATGTATGTGCGTTTTACTGAAGAGTTCTGGTAGTGGCGCGAGATAATGGACTAGTATTTTCCTGAATACGGAGTAGAAATTGCATATGATGTTTGCTTAATCTGTTTGGACAAGCTGTGTTTATTCAACACGTTGTTCGTTCAAGTAGAAGAAATTTCTAAGACCTTCGGTGAAATGAAGAGTACTCAGTAATCAAGTTCGTAATGTAATAGTGACAGGTTTTCATGGATGTTTATTCTGTTTTTATAAGCGAGTATGATTGTGAATGAAATTTTAAGGCAGAAGGTTAATTCTAAATTCGTTTAAATAAAATTCATCCGCGCGATGAACTTTCTTTTTCGGCAACATGGGAATTCGTTATGTACACGAGTTTGAATAGTCGTTTTTTTGGTCGCATCGATCATATTTTTTCAGTATTAATCCGTGTCAAATGACATTGATGTGTCACTCAGATTGTCTATAACATTTTAAAAGGTAGAAATTACTCATGTTGGGTTGACGTGTAGCTTAAATGGTGAACCCATTCATTCTACTTTCCCTGTACGATTTGACACATGCTATTGTCTTCGCTATAGTTGTAGTTTCAGTCGCACGTAATTGCTAGACGCAGTTAAATTTAGAAGAAGAAAGATTGAAATCATTCCAATTTCTGATTTCGCTGGAACAAAATGAATTGTGCTGTTGCCTTGAAAGAAATGTAAATATGCAGCGTCAAACATTTGTTTCGAGTCAATACGTTGTTTGCGGTGTATTCGTGCCTGGAAGGCAACAGCGGTCCACGATTCCATATCGCATTTTTTCACGGTTTGTGATTGAAAATTGAATAAGTGAAGTCACCTTTCCCACTCGAGCATTGAACAGCGACCCTTTACCGCTATACAATTGAACTACTGTTTACTTTCGACTCTTTGAGTTTTAACTTTCAAAAAACAATTTGCTAATCACTTGACCTATGACTATTCATTTCTATCAACGACCTAAGAATTTTAAGAACGTTGTAATTCCAATTAAAACATACCGATTCTCATTGAAGAAAAATATAGTAACACGAATTATACATTTGTATTTTCTGTTGTTTACAATAGTGCAACTGGAGGGGCGGATAGTGGTCCTGCTAGCTTACAAGGTTCACCAACCGAGGATAAGAATGGCCAGCAACCATTTGGAGCTGGTAAGTTTCTTAAGAAATCGTTTAAATCGCTTACCCATCTAATTCAAATCTCAATGCAATTAATTGTCTCGCCCATCGATAGGAATTATTTATAATTGCCTTCTATGAGTGCACTCTTGCCATTCACCTCCATTAAATCACTTTAACTCGGTGACTGCTCGGAAGAAACTTTTAATTACATCCAACTTCGCGAAGATGAAAGAGTTTAGGACCCTTTAACAGACTTCGCTCTCGTTACTGCTGATATTCGTTACGGAAGTCAAGGCGACTGTTTAGATCAAAAACGACGCAAGGGGAGAAAGAATGGCCCCCATGCTTTTCAAGCGAAAGCGAGCGCGCCGTTAAAGGGGAACGAATAGTTGGATCTCCTCCGTTAAATTCAAGTTTAAATTGAAATCAGCTAAAGTTCTCCGTACACGATGTGCGTGTTTGTTTTGCATTAACATTACGTCTGGCCATTTGATTGCGTCACGCGAGAACCGAATTCGCGATTATATAAACTGGTTCGTTAAAATTTAGAGTAAGCTGATTTCCCACGGAGAAAATTAATTGAGAGATTAATAATGAAGTTCGTACGTATAGATCATTTCGTTCGACAGAGACAAATGGAGATTTCATTCGACCGTCACAAATGCCTTTAATAACTAGAAATGGCCGGTATCGATCAGACTAAATTGACACGTGTACAGTATTCTAAATCGTCTTTCCGAAGAAAGCATTATGCAACACGCCCGAGAGATCGTTATTCCACCTTCACAATTTATTCCGATGCCGAACGTCACTTTTTCTATAACTGTGTCAACGATAATAGACCACTTTGCATTTAAATCCTGAAAATACTTATCTTTGACGCCCCTTCAACCCGATTTCCCTGTAGGACTGATTCGTTTTTCATAGACTAGCCATACGTTTTGCAATCTTAACGAGTATCGCCCACATGGGAAAAAGTCCTCGCGCGTTTCCATGCCCGCTGCACGTCGCACTCTATAGGCTCCGCACAATACTCGCCTATAACTGTTCCTCGTACAATAGGGATTTGATTTTCTCGAATACTGTGCATATTCACGTTGCCAAATGCGATCATTCAGGTCCAGAAAGGAATAAACCGCTTAAAGTCAGCTTGCTAATCCTTTTGTTCCCCATTTTTAATACCATTCACTCGTTACACAAGATACTTCCAAAACAGATACTCAATTTTTACCGTCATATGTTTTATATCTTAAAAATGAGGAAAAACAATGTATACATTAAAACTAAACTCCACTTCCATATAATCACACGAGAATAATCTCTAATAAAATATGTATATCGCAATATCCTCTATTATCGTCAGTAATTATATATTAATAATCATAAGCGTCGTTGTATAGTTGACACGCATGAACTGCCATTTATCAAATACCGCAGATCCTCGATACACTTCCAATCTCATTAATCCTCCCCTCAAAAAAATCATCCGCGAAACTTCCGCCGAGAAGACAGAATCGCGATCGAATGTAATTAAATCCGGAAGTACCTTTAAGACAAGTGTGCGGAACTCGCTGAAAGTGGAATAGTTAAGTATTCTATCGCGCGGCTCTCCGCCCGTAAAATATCTCGATCCGATACCGCAACGTGTATCGATCCCGCTGAACTATTAAATTAAAACTTGCTCGCCAGATTTTTTCCCCTCAGGTTTCTTGTTGCTACAAGTTCCCGGGGACACCGGGAGAATTCTTCTTTCCCCCGGCCTTATCCCGCCATATTTTATTCCGCGCTATGAAGTTGTATCGCCGTACTCGTACGTTCCGGCGAAAATTCATTTCACCGCCCGTGGGACGTTGCGATGCAATTTTTTTCTCCTCCGGATATAGAGATAATACCTCGCTGGAACTTCTCACGTTCACCGATCCCATCAATAACATTTTCGTAGGACCGTCCCTCCTCTGTTTTTCCTTTTTTCCCCTCTGTCTTTCGTCGGCCAACGTGATATTCCGTCGAGAAGCTCGTCGTATCTCGTCGCCGCGTATATATTTCATCGCCGTGAAAGACTCGCGCGAGGTTTCGCGCGGCAGCACGAGTCAGCGACGAGAAAAGAGATATCGCTCTCGCCGAAGGGAAAAAGCTTTACGGGCTAAATGCGCGATATCGTTAATTGTTTCTCCCCATAGAACACAAGGCCGCCGAATGCACGGTTGAAGCTTTATTATTGGCCCCGTGTCGAACAATATGTCGGTGCGTATAGAATTTCGTGGAAATCTCCCGGACAGCACTAGCGTGTTTAATTTCCAGCCGACGCGAGGCCGTGTCAGCCTTCGAGTTTCTAATAAACGATGAATAATTATTTTATTTCCATTCCGCTTCGACGATCGCCGAGATACGAATGATAAAAATAGAGGGATCACGGGAAATATTTTGCGTTCCCGTTGAAATTAAAACGCGCCGAGTCGATCATGCTATCCGAATTTAATGTCATAAGTTCAAGGTCACGGTCCGACATCAATCGCGGCGAAATAATGAATCCTCTCTCCCGCGCGCGTGCGATATTTTGGAAAATTTGATGCAGTGACGCAGACGAAACCGTGGGATCTCGTATCCCGAATAAGTTCATTCGGAAATTAACTGGATAATTTCCGACGTTGTGTCAAAGGAGACCCGCGATGACCATTGTTCACGGATTGAGCACCCGCCGCGAAGGCCGACGAATTTTTCCGGGAACAGTTGTTTCTGCGCGGAAGCGCTGGTGAAAGCTTCGATACAATGTATATATATATAATGTTACCGTACAAAAATGCTTTGAATCCATTGACCTACGGCTAATTCTATTACGTCCGAGCGATTGTTGAATCGACTCGAAGCATTTTAAATTCAACCTTCAATGCACCGTAGAATAATGCATCAACCTGTTATATCGATTTAATAATGGCTTTCGGTTAATTCATAACTATTTAAACTACTTACCTTCCGATAAGCGGATTTCGAACATTTCAGCCAACCTGGAAAAATGTGTCGCAACGAATTAAAGAATAATTTACCAGTTCTTATTAACATCAGATTTCTTGTTTCCGACTATCGCTGAAACTAATTTCGATCCGATGACATCAATTTTTCCGCGTATCTGCATTTGATTTACGATTTTCCAATTAAATGTCACACCCCAGCGGGATTTCCTTTCAGAACGTGTCGTTATAGTTCACGGCGGAGTCCCTGGGACAATGCAGCGCGTTATACAAAGAAATTTCGTCCGGGACAGCTTTTGTATCGACCGCGATTCTTTATCTCGTGAACCTTACCGTATCCCCGCGCAATCCTGTGCCCGTATCTCCCGCCGAAGATACGACAGCCCGCTTTGTGCTATATTTTTCCCCCGACCGTATCGTTCGCTCCTCTTTGAGCGCGGTTCCGATCAAATCCATGTATGGTCCCGGTAATGTTATTCGAGCGAGTGTCAGAATAAAAAAGCGAGCGCTCGTGTCGGGGCTAGTGTTGTTTTCGGGAGTTTATCGATTTCGCGAGCAACCTGATGCTTAACCACATCGCGTTCATTATTTTCCAAACATACGTGTCGTCTGTTTCATTGTTTCCAAAGTTTCGATACGTTTCGATAAATACAATAACCGTCCCACGTATTCGAGTACCAATATCTTCTAACATATTAGTTTCGAAGAAGCTTGAAAGGACGATAGAAATCTTTCAAATTAATTTCATATTTTCCCATCGCTCGTTGATACCCGAATAAGCAATTTTGAACTGTTTCACCGCTTTCGATAACATTCGCGTAAGCTTAACAAGTAAAAGGGGATCTTAAACAAGAGTCACGCTTCTGATCTTCATTTATTGTACGACGCGTTTCAATATTGCCACGGTTGGTTATCTAGGGCGAATCACAAGACGTAGACGGTGCTTTGTTAATCAAGGAACTTAGGTCGAATCTAACGTGGTACTTGACCCAGCACGTGTAACCCTGATCCAGTTGCAAACCGAGACATAATCAGTGATTGAAGCCGGCACAAGTGCTACGCGTTAGTGCCCTCTTCTTTCCTTTGTGGATCGGTGGGAATCCAGCCGTTTCGCTTACACATCAAATCAAACGGAATCTCACTCGTTCAATTACCGATAGCGTATCAGTTGGGCAACTGCTTTGATTAATTTCGTTCCATTGATCGGGCGAGACGCCTCAGTCGACGGGGGGCGGAAATCGGTCACATATTTATGCGACTTGGTTTCGTCGACCTACATCCATCTTCCGAAGAACACGCGGTTATCGTGGCGCGTTCTATTCGAAACGTTCTAATATAATTAGAACGTTTGTACCAGCTCACGTGTTCCCTGCGGTTCGCTCGGAACAGGGAAACCACTTTGCTGGAAGTCGCCTCTGTGCTCGTAGCTTCGAAACTCTCCACGCCAAGTAGACAAAGACCGAGACGAGAGAGATTTTAGCTGAAACGGAGGACTCCTCTGCGCACAAACGCAACGTTAAAGGTTTTGATCGCTACATTCTGGGACGCGTTTAATTACTCGGGACGGTGGCGGTAGCACCGAAGAAACTACTCTTCGACGGAAAAAAGTGTTCGATCTACCGTAACCGTATCTCGAGATGAAATCATAAGCAGATTATGAGGGTGCAATTATTATCACATTACTTCGAAACAGTACTCGCATGTACCATCGGAACCCAGAACTCTCGAACGAAACCGACGGAAACCGAATTTCAGTTGAAACACTCGACACCCACGCCACTCCCGAGACTCCGTCTCGTCTCGAATATCACTGGAGTAGTTCCGAGGCGCAAAAAGAATTTCACCGGCCGTCGAAGAAAGGAACGTTCGAATTCTTTCTATACATTATTCCTTCCCCCGATCGCGACGCCCGTTCGCCGGTGGCGGTCGGGGTTCCGTCCCAGGCATCCGAACGAAAGCTAGCCGGCCGCCTTAACGCCATTAGCCTTAAAAGGAAACTTGGTCGCGAAACAACCGTTGCATAATGCCTCCCCCGCGAGCTCCCGGGTTTCCGTACGGCCG